CCCCCCCCACCCTGGTATTTTGAACTATTGGGCGTGACTTCTGGCAGAGGTTTCCCGCTTTCTTCGATAACACCAAAACCTCTGCGGAGGAGAGAGAGTTAGGGCTGGGGTTAGGGCTGGGGTTAGGGCTGGGGTTAGGGCTGGAGTTAGGGCTGGGGTTAGGGCTGCATGGGGTTATGATTGGGTCAGTTTATTTTTTATATGCCAGACTGCCGCTGTGCCGCGCATCTAATATTTTGAAACTACCATGCCTTAAAAACTCACACTTAATGTTGCATTGTGATCATTCTGGTTAATCCTTTTCTTTCTTCCCCTCTTGACAATTAACCTTCCTTCGCCACTATTCTGCGACGCCATGTGAGAGACTCAATATGCAATATTTTCCTTCAATGTTGAATGTTCACATCGCTAAGTGGCCCAGAATTTCGCCTTTTTTTCATCATAAACAACATACAACATGAATATCAAAAATATGACACCACTTAACTGCAAACGTATTTTTTTTCAGAAAACAAAATAAAAACTGCATCAAATTTTGAAAACATGCAAAAACATTGAGGACAAAGCGCTAGACTGTACGTTCCTATTATCCCAAACTCGTCCACCAGTGTCCCTATATGCCCCATTGAACAGGGAACTAGCGGAAACACGGGCGGACGAACTAAAGAACTGACGAACTGGAAAACGGATAGATGAACAAGTGTTATACATTTTACACCAGCAGTGATTTACACTCATTTTAAATTTGGCAAAGATAGCGGTCAGCAGAAAAAATTTTTGGGATCACTTTAAGGCTTGGTTACCAAGCACGGAGCTATATAAATACAATGGATAATTTGTTATCATTACGTAATACGTATCGCGTAATAAAGTATTGTATTATGTAAACATTGGTATTCATCTTTAAGCCTGAAAATGATATTTAAAGTTCGTTCTTGTGGTTACAAATATTGAAATTTCATTTCGATACTCCTAAAAATTCTTTGGAATAATTACTTATTGCTTTCTATTTGACAGAAACTCGGTTTCATAACATCATTTGGCAAGTATTTGTATTAGGTTTTAGAAAAGATTTTGATTTGTCGTAATTTTATACAATGTCAATGTACTATCATTACCAAGATCCAACTTGGGAACAATAGTGCAATTTGCACCAGCTTCAGCCCCAGATTCATCATTTTTTGAATGTATATAACAATCGCACAATAGGATAGCATGATGCTGAATATCATGATGTATATTTTGCCGAACGCAGAGCTACATTCAAGTAGTTACCGCAATATTTTAAACAAAGTGAAATATTTTTACTGTAATAAAGAAGTACGATGGCCGAGGAGGGCCACTTCTGACTTCCGACTTCCGACTTCTGAGTTCCGACTTCTGACTTCTGACTTCCGACTTCCGACTTCTGACTTCTGAGTTCCGACTTCTGACTTCCGACTTCTGACTTCTGACTTCCGACTTCTGACTTCAGAGTTCCGACTTCTGACTTCTGATAGCCTGCGTAGCAGGCGCTATTTAGGGGAGGGGCGAAAAATGGAAGGGGCGAGAAAGAAATAGCGCCTGCAGGAAAGCCATATGTTTTCTCATATTTCGCGTCCGTGAGCGGACGCGAAATTCTGATTGGCTAATCAGTCATCAGGGGTTTCCCAATTATATTCCCTGTGGTTTTAGATGAGTTCAAAATAGCGGCCTTAGTATTGACCTCTTTCTAAAGTGATTAGCTATATTCAGTTGGCGACTGGCCACTGTATTCAACTGAAAGAGGAGCGAGATAAAACAGTTCGGGACCTTTTAAAAGGAAAATATGTTTTTGCTGTATTACCGACAGGTTTATGGCAAAAGTTTGATTTACCAAGCTTTCGTACGAGCGCGTGATTATCATACGTCAGGGAAAGCAGCTATTATTGTAATATCCCCATTGAATAGCATTTATATTAAAGACCAGCCAAAAGATATGGAACGGCAATGTTTCTCGTCCGTGGATGTTTAAATCACTATAAGTTACAATCACTATATAGTTTATACGCTATAATCACTTTCAACTTAGCCTATTCGCTATAAATTGATCGAGAAAGTTGCCGCTTCGAGTTGCTGTCGTTGTTGTTAACAACTTGTCCTGCGATGGGGAATCTCGTTCTTCTATGTCGAGGAAAAGACTTTCTAGTACTAGATTTGACACACACATTTAATTTCTTTCTTTATACACTTTCGTTGTGTGATTTCTTGGCAACTGCGTTTTGCTTATCTCGCTCAGATCATCTGAAACCGTATTATTTTGTTCTTTAATTATCGTTCTTCCTTTACAAATTTATATAGTTCAGCAACGTTCCTTATTTTCCTTACAAGGTTTACACACTCGATCCGATAAAGTTTCGCTTCGATTCAACTTAATTAAAACCAATGGACTCGCACGCGTTCGCTGAAATCAAATTCTGACTGCCTTGTCTGTCTGATGGCTTAAACAAATTTTCAAAGGAAGGCTCACTTTCACATACTGCTTTTAGATTGCTGTTGCAAAACCTGCATGTATCGCTAGCGCTTGCCTATTTCGCTTTTCTACCTGCTTTTTTACAATTTTTTTTGGCGTTAACATAGAAATACACTTTATAGTATACACGCGCATTAACTATGATTATGCATAGTGTTGTGAAACCAGATCTGTCATTGGGAAAACCATTAGTTGCGTCTAATCACTGATTGGCTTGTTTTTTAATGGGCGGGACTTGGGCAGATATGAGAAAACATATGGCTTTCCTGCAGGCGCTATTTCTTTCTTGCCCCTTCCATTTTTCGCCCTCCCCCCCCCCCTAAATAGCGACTGCTACGCAGGCTATGTCCAACTTTGTTCTATATTTCTAATAGGGGGAAAGTACAGATACCCAAGTCCCTAGCACTAACAATGACCATTCAGCAGATGTTTGGTTGTTCTGGCCTGATATTTAAGATTTTGAGTGGTTTTGGACATTGCCTCTCACTATCTTTGGCAATGGCATATGATTCAGCTGTTGCACAGGCAACTATCAACACATCAACATTATTCCAGTAATATCTGATGCATGTGGTGGCCAGTTCTTGTACCAAGCTGATGTACAATTATGCAAGTTGTTTCTCAGTGTTAGGCCAACTGTATACATTTCTTTCAATGTTGCACTTGTGTATGTCGATGTTTTCGTTACAATGCCAACATCAGAATCAGACTCTTGTGTGAACTCTGAGATGTTTCTGTGTCATCATCCATAAAACTTTTTCTTGACTGAGGCACTCTGCATAAACATTTTCACTCTTGTTTCATAACTCTGGTCTATGGAAAACAAGTTGTGGAAACCTTTTACACATGTACTTTTCGTAACATTGTTTACGGTATTCCACTTTCAATGCTAGGTCCTTATCAGCAATTTGAATACTTTCATCAGCTTTCTTTGTTGCAGCTTCTTTCAGTTTACCACCTACTGTTTCTACGGACACCATTTTGTCCTAAATAATAAAAACCCATGCATAGAAATCACACAACCATTATAATGTTAGCAGCTAAAGGCAATGCAATCAATATATAATTACAAAACACATCTTAGAAAAAATATTAACCCATTAAGCGCCAGCGCTCTCCCCTTGACAAGTAAAATCGTCTGGCGTTAGACAGAGTAAAATACTAAAGTAGGGTGCATCAGGGTGCAATGCGACTCAATGGATTAACTAGACACATGGGCAGATAGGCCAGTTAACCCATTAAGCACCAGTGCTCTCCCCTTGATGAGTAAAATCGTCTGGCGTTAGACAGAGTAAAATACTAAAGTAGGGTGCATCAGGGTGCAATGCGACTCAATGGCTTAATAAACCAATAAACTTACCGACTCAGTGAAATATGACTTTTCTGATTTGCAAAATTGCAACTTGACAACACATGGGATTCCATGATTTAGCTGCCGCACTCATACACACGTAAAATTCTCACATCTTGTAACAAGTCTGCCAACAAGCCGTCAACAAGATGTAAGCACACTGCTTGTCACAAGTTGTCAACAGGTTTGGAACAACTTGTTGACAACTTGTAACAACCTTGTCGAAGTTATCAGACTTGTTGCAAGGTTGTTCTGACAAGTCTGCTACATCCTTGATATAACAAGATTGTTACAACCTTGTGTTGACAACCTTGTAACATCCTTGCTATATCATGGTTGCAACAAACTTGTTAGCACTGTCTTGTAACAAGACTGATAATGCCATCAAGCTTGTTACAAATTGTTAACAGCTTGTTTCAAACTTGTTACAACAAACTGGGAACAAGCAGTGTGAAGACAACTTGTTGACAGCTTGTGAACAGACTTGTAACAACTTGTTTGCAGACTTGTTACAAGCTGTGCATTTTTACATGTGCAGGTGAACTCAGCGTATACATGTAAAAATGCACAAGTTGTAACAAACCTGCAGGAGATTTGTAGCAATGCTGCTACAACAACTTGTCAACAGGATGTGTTCGCACTGCTTGTTCCCAGTTTGTTGACAGGTTGTCAACACCTTGTTGACAACTTGCTACAAGGTTGTCAAACTCAACAAACTTGTTACAAGTTGTTCCAACAGCAATAGAACAATTTGTCAACAAGTTGTGAGTGACAAGCTTGTAGCAACTTGATAAAATAACAGAACTTTTACAACTTTTTGACGAGCTTGCTACAAGTCTGTTGCGAACACATCTTGTTGACAAGTTGTGCGATTTTTACGTGTGTAGATCTCAGCATTTTCTTTACAGGTGGAGTTTCATCTGATTCCGTTTCTTCCTCAATAAATGGAGACCAGAGGATGAAGGTACACCTTCTTTGTCCATATTCTGACAACGCTCTTGAGCTCGGTTGATCATACTGCTATTTGTGAATGCCGAGTAACAACTTCGATGATATAAAGAGAAATTTGCATCGATATTTTCGACCGTGCTACTTCCATGCTGTCGCTAACAAACCGCAAACTTCTTTGAGCAACTTTGCGTTCTTCCCCGTCTAGCGTTAGCCAAATTCTACGACAATCTAAAAATTTTTTATACGAAACCACACTAAAACTTGTAAGTGGGCCTTTTTTCCCATCAAAATGAATTAAACATGAATCAGAAGACGCCATGTTTACAAATGCTAAGCTGGAAACTTCATGTAAGAATGAGCATGAGCCCGCGAAAATCGGCATTTAGAGTGTTTATTACACCAAGTATCCTGAACAAAAATGGCGGCGATCGATTGCGAAAGATGTCGATTTCTTCAATTTTCGAAGAAGAAATACTCGAAAACTGCAGGTTTTGGGAAGTGCAAACAAGCGCATTTGGACTTTGTATAATTTATCCTAATTATTTATCTTGTTTCAAAGTAGTGCCCGAACCCGGGCAACGGAATTCGTTTTCTAAGCGACTTTTCGTGCCACAGAATACGGCCTAAACGCTCAATTTTTGGTACCGTACGACTTTTTGGTTCTTGGACTACCTAAATAGGTAGTCCAAAAAAAAAAAGTGGTACGGGTACCAATTTTATCCGTGCCGTACCAAAAATTGAGCGTAGTGCAAACGGGACTTAAGTATGCTCACCAACAAGTTTTGCTTTTTAATGTTAATTTAAACTCATTTACTCAATACTTGTCATAGGGCTCTGGCTTTGGGGCAATAGGTCATTTTTTTCTTCAGTGGTGAGGCAGAGGAAGGGGTGCGATGGGGCAAATGCTCCACTAGTCCATGGTATTAAAAAATGCCTTGCAAAAAGCTTTATTATAATTATTACACTTTAGGTAAATATTCATTAAAAATTGAAATTTCAGGTAAAATCCTCTGAACCCCAACTTCAGATGCAGCTGATGCATCCCTGTACACTGACGTGTACAATAGTACACGTCAGTGTACAATAGTACACGTCATAATTTTGAGCCTTATCCTAAGCACGCTGTTGCTATGGTAACGGACTTTCAGCACAAAAGTAGCACATGCAATGTTCAGGAGAGCATTGTCAGTCTGTCCAATAAATTTCGTCTTCATATTATGTAAAGTGTAAAAACAGGCGTTTTCTGGATACTATAGTAGGGGTTTCCACAAGTTGCTCGGCAACTTTTTGGCAACTTTTCGTTTTATGAGCAACTTTTGTTTTAAACGGCAACTTTTGTAACTTCGAGCAACTTTTCATGAATTTGACAACTTTGTAACTTTGTTTAGCGATTTTGAGTTTACTTTCATTTTGTGTAGAAATATGGCAGGCCATATTAGGATAATAATAAACAATTTTAGCCCTCCAAATCCATTCAATCTCAATATCTATTTATCCGTATTTAATACTCGGTAATTTTAGCAGCTGGGGAATTAATTTTTGGTTTCTAAAAATTGAAAATGACCGACAGCTCAAGCACAGAAGTTCAAGGGAAAAAGCTCAGTGACATTTTAACTTGTGTAAAGAACATCCTAATAACACTATTTAGTATTTTTGCACAGGTGAATATAACAAATCGTGCAAGTTGATTGGTCAAATTTGACCTATTATTCTGTTATATATTCACTTACAGGTGAATATGACAAAATCGAAATTTGCAAAATGGCGCGCGGCTAGTCGTTTTGTGGAAGTTACTGATAAAGAAATAAGCGAAATCAAAATAAATTCAGTGCCAAAAAAAACCCCAAAAGATTTGTGTAAAAATACTAAAACTATTGTTCGCCTCAGGTTCGGTGATTATCGGGGAATATTCACCTCGACTTCTTTCCGGCGAATATTGCCCGATAATCACTTCGCTTTCGGCGAATAATTGTTAAATATTTACGCAAAAGTTGGTATTTGACATTATCATAATTGTTTTAACATTACGCCAGATTTTATATTCGATTACATAGGTCTATAATAATCTATATGTTTTTTATATAATTTAATATTGTAAATATGTAGCGAATATAGATACCGATCGATCCCCGGATATATAGATACCGATCGATCCGGATTTTTAGGGGGCCGTTTCATTATATATGCAATAATTACTATGCAAGGGGACCGCAAGGGGGCCGCTTCATTATATATGTAGGTAATTAAGGGAGCCGCATCATTATATATGCAGGTAATTAAGGGGCGGCCACACAAATGAGCGTGCGTAGTGACGTCACTCATTAGTATACGTCATAATCCAGGTGATCTTGTGTTCGTATTTTAGCCAATCAGCGCTCAGAAAGGGTTGTCGGAATAAAAATCCATTTTGCTGTATTCAGTCAATTATATTTTTCGTTATTCTTTATGAAACTAGTTGAAATTTTGTAATTATGTTTGGTTATGAGAACTATAGCTCTGACAAAAATATGGAATCGAAATAAAGTATATTACAGGAGATATTCAGTTGTTTTAATCATAAAATGGATTTCTATTTGACAACTAGTGCCAGTACTTTTCCGCGTATCAAGATCATCTGGATGTTATGCAATGGCGTCACGCGGGCATGAGAAATATTTAGCCATTCTTATGATAACTACCAGAAGGAAGTGAGTCAAACGTAAAATTGAAATGTCAGTCAAAGACCGCGGTGCTTCCTTTCAAGTCTTAATACCTCTCATCGTAAGAACACTTGTTATTAAAACAAGTGTCAAGTTGCACCTTTCTTCTCTGAAGTTTTCAAATAAACAGACGTGCAGAAATACATAAACTAAAACAGCAGGTGAAAGTAAAACGCCAGTTCAGCTTTGAACAACCGGTTCCATCTAGAAAATCTGCAATTATATAGGTTCAATTCTACTAGCTTCATTAACATCAATCGGCTTCCTATATATAGTTATGCCGTAGGCATCTGAATTTTAATAGAATTTTAATAGTCCACTGCAATTAACTCCCACCGCATTGTTATTATAATGTCATTAGCTATTCTTATGATAACTATACTAAAGAAGGAAATTAGTCAAACGTTGAATGTCTTTAAGATCGCGGCGCTTCTTTTCAAGTCTTAATACATTTTCTCTCATCGTAAGAAAACTTAATATTAAACAATAGCAATCTGCAGCAGGATAAATTCTTTGTTGGGATTTTACGTTCCTTTTCCATCCTTTCTTCATGCATGTAAACTGTCAAAACTTTCGATCTGTAAACCCGGATTTCGGTCAGTTAGATAAATATTCGCTGGGATCGAACGTTTACGAAACATATATTATAAACAAACCAATCAATTCAATCTCCGGCAAGCCGTCAGAAATTAAGTAATGTCGCTTAATTGGTCCCTCTTCTCAAAATTTCACTTGAAGCCATTCTCTTCGAGCTATAAATTATAGTATTTTAAAATTCAATATTTTCCACATACAGTAGATATAGCCTATGTCAGGATTTTGAGCCGCTCACTTACAAATGTAGTTCTTGAAGGATTTTTGTAAATGAAAATCTCGAGTGTAATTTATAGAGGTTTCTAGACCTAACTAGGAGCAGCTGCGAAAAATGTAACAATATTGGCCTTGGGGCCATAAAGGTATGTGTTAAGAGATTTCATGCTTTCAGTTCTTTAAGCTAGACTTTTGGGGGAGGGGATGGGTGTTAATACTCTAGAACGACCCAGTCATCACCCAGACTTTTTTGTAATTCTTCTAAATAGAGAGGGCGGCATCACTAAAAAGAAGATATCCCTGTTAGAGCACATATCAACAACCGTACAAACCTTACAACTTGGAACATTAAATATGCAGGTATAAAACTTGTCAAATTTCGGGCAGTGATCCAGAAACCGAATAATCGGTGAGTTCCCAGTCAGTTCAAGCCAGAGTCCAATGAATACAATTAAACACTACGCATACTTTCAATAATGATTTATTTCTAAATTATTTTTATTTCAATACTTAATGGCCATTTATATGCACATATAATAAATTATTAGAAAAATGAAATACAAAAAGCGTCTGGCATGGCGTAAAACGATTGTAATTTACAATATCAATGAACTATATAACAACACCAACGGTTGCTAGCGCTGTGTTGGAGTTAAGTACAACTCGCGGCTTAAATTCAGAACTCAGAAATACGAGGTGGATTTGGAAGCGAATCAAGTTGCGCAGAAAATGAATGCAACAACTGGGAACACATTTCTTGAAACCTGTTATATCTTGAAGGAGACTGTACACCTCGTTGTCAAATTTCCATCCACCGCGAGTGTAGTTCTGTATGTCATTGCAATCGTGGTCAACGTAAGTCTTGTTTTTACTACGTTATTTCTGAACGGTATCACGGTGGCAACAATTTGGAACTCTCGTACATTGAAAGAAAAGGTTTCCAACAATACTATCTTGATTCAGTCTACCATTGACCTTGGAAATGGATTAATCGTCATGCCATTGACGACTATGCATTTGGTGCGTAATCTTGTCGGAAACACATCTTGTATTACAGCTTTTATTACTAGAAAAATCGGGTATCTTTTGTGCTTTTATTCAATGACGACTATGTCTGCGATGAGTTTTGAAAGGTATATGGGTGTCCTACATCCTTTCGTTCACCGTGTTAAAGTAACCAAATCAAGAGTGTTGAAATACATTATTTCTGTTTGCTGTATACAAACATTGGTGTATAGTGTCACCTTCTTCAATGGAGTACAAATAACTCGGCCATTCTTTGTAACAAACATGCTTCTGTTTCTTGCATTCACTGCATTTGCATATACAAGAATTTTCTGTTTTCGTATCAAGAACAGCAGATCTCCTCTTGGAAAACAGGTCGTCAACATCGCAGAGAGAACTAATGCAAGCACAAAAGCACGATTACTTAAAGAATTCAAAATAGCAAAGTCGTGTTTCCTTGTAGTGGTTGTTAGTCTTGTGTTTTCCATGCCTTCAGTTGTTCTGGCTGGGTTTTTTAACTTGAAAACAAACTTCCTTGCAGAAACACTTCAGAAGTGGTCGTATCTTTTAATTTTGTTCAATTCAACTGCGAACTCTTTGATTTTTTTCTGGCGTAACAAGGCACTAAGAACTGAGGGGATGAATCGCATCAAGATCTTCAGGGACTCACTCAGTAGGATATGCGGAGATGTGCAACATGCGGAAAACAATTAATTGTATAATGTATGATTCTTAAGTAAGTGAATGTATACCTATGTACTGTATATAGGAGAAAATGTTCTCGAGTGAGATATTTATTTTCTTAAATTGTTGAAAAACAGCAGCAAATATGGTATAAACAAACGCTTAACATTCTAAATGTATTTGCCAAACTAGTTTTTCAACGACTTTCTTATTTTGAAGTGATTGGGCCGCTTGGACGTAAATTATTAGGCTCGTACAAAAAGCTTAAGTCATTGTTCCGCCTTAAACAGCATTTTTCGCTTGCAGAATCGCCAATTTGAAAAGTATTTTCGAAATTCTTGGTTACAACGATGAAGAGTTGAAGAAATCTGTTGTTTGGGTTAAAACCAAATTTTAGTTGGTTAAGAATTACTTGTTTGACAGGGTTTCTTCGTTTGTGATATTTTATCCAATCAAATTCAAGAAAGATGACGTCAGTGTTAAGTTGTTCCTAATTTGGTATTCAACTTCGTAACCTGTTTCAGGATGTGTTTGTTTCCATATGTTAGAGACAGACAATGACACAAACAATATATAAATTGAATGAACTGATTAATTAACATTATGTAAGTTTGAGCAATGTGTAAATAGCTGTATATAAATGCTTAGTGTGGAATAAAGAGTTGTTGTGTGTGTGAAACTAAGAAGCTTGTCTGAAGTTGTTTACGAACAAGTTTGAAAAATGTAAATATTCCGTAGCGAACACCATTCAATAAGATATATTTATTTGTAAAATAAAGCTATTGTACATTGTAAAATTTTGAACGGTTGTACCAGGCTGTATGATGAGGGAAAGTAGCGACGTGAATGATAGTATACATATATTGTGAAACTACTTGGACTTACGACCATCGTATAAAATGGGACGAAGCAACCATTTTGGCGATTGATAGTCATAAGTTCTCTCGCACAATGAGAGAGTCAATTGAAATTGAGAAGCACAATACTATAGATCAGGAGGAAAGCCACTAGATAGTACGTGGCGTGCTCTCTTTAATGTGCAACATCAATTTCTCTTGTCTTGGATGCGCGCGCGTTAATTGGAATCACTTCATTACGTTTGAAATGACGTGGTTGATGTGCCGTTTAATTAAATTTCAAATGACGCGAGCAAACAGATCACGTCACTCTTGTATATAAAAGAGCGTGTGAATTAAACAAGTCACATATTATTAGCACTGATGAAGATCCGGGCTTACGGATCGAAAGCTTTGCAGTAATAAATTTACGTGGTGTTTCCACAAACAAAAACAATTATATTTTATCGCCATGCAAACATTCAAAGAACTCATTAATAATCCATGAAGAAATCATATCTGATACAAAATCATGGTGACTTAGATAAACTTTAACTTCAATTTTCTCACCAAATATCATTCATTTCTTTTTCCGGCCGTAATCCCAGGTCCGTAACGTAATTCGAGCCTTCTGATTGGTTGACGAGAGGTCACGTTTCCCTCCAAAACAAACCGAGTGAAGACAATTTTTAAACTGGAAAAATGATCCAAAACGCTGAAAAACCGCCATATCGATAATAAAGATGGAAAAATAGGTTGAACTGACTTCGATGGATTTAGTGTCCAGCCCGACATGTATTTTTGTCCGAACTAAATGCGGAAAAACAAGTATTTCTTTGACATATAAGTATCGAAAAATCAGTGCTAAATGTTTAGTTTCAAAAGCCCTGCATATTAGCATATATTCAGCTATACTTCGCAAAAATATCGGTTAAAAAATAGATACTGGAACCAAGAACTTATCCTGAAACATAAAAAATTTAAAAATACCATAAAACAGCAGTTTAAACCTGGTTTCTGTACTTATTTCGGCCATATATCTTTTATAAATGCTTTCATTTGTAACGTATATAACACAGGTGGACAGGTGTCTGTGTGCCTACATTCGCAGTAGTATTAAAGAATCTCGTTTAAAAGATCTAATGCTCAATTTCAGATAAAATTTTCCATCAGTTATGGATACAACTTCAGTGCAATAAATTAAAATCGATCAATTGTGATATGTGTTGCTTATTGACCACCGGACTGTGAAATAAATTGTTTTGATCTTTCACTGAAAGCAAATTATGTTCAAGCCCTTCTTTTGCGAAAGACGGTCCTTATCTTGGCGTTGGGTTTTTTAAATTTTAAATTATAACATATACCTGTGTATATACTTAAATCTGGACCAGATCTTGGCCCGCACTTCAAGATTTCCCAACTGAACGGATTAACATCATCAACTCGCCAACAAAAGTAACTAATATATACCAGCACATGCATGACTATAGTACTAATAGATGTCGTACTTTTATCTGCCCCATCGTTGGTGAATCTATAGTGGTGTTTTAAGCGAGCATTTTACAGTGTGTGCAGTGCTTACGTTACACTGACTCCCCACAAAGATTCGGGCGTTGTGAAAACCTGTAATGCCAGAATATTACGGAATATGGCGGAATATCACGGAATATTACGGAATATGGCGGAATATCACGGAATATCACGGAATATGTCGGAATATTACGGAATATCACGACGTTTTTTCCGGAATGTACCAGAACATCACAATATTTTCTGATTGCAAAATGTCGGCGTCCATTTTTTTAAGCTATGCCTTTCAAACATCATTGTGTATTAATGCATCTATATTTATTCTCAATAAATTAATATTAAACAGTTGATGGATTGAAATCCCATGGTGGTAAAAGTATAGCTACGAGGCATACAGTGGATTAGCATTAATATATTAAATTGCCATAGTGTTAAAGGAACAGTAGAGATATTTTAGTGGATACGCGGATACGCAGTCAACTCGTATTTGGAGAACGAGGCATACAGTTATAGATTAGCATTAATAAATCAAATTGTCATAGGTTGCTCTATATTTTTAGTGCAGTGGATACGTTGGATACTCAGCCAACTACTTATTGTGGCTTTGTGCTTTATAAAACTTATCCTTAGGATGTTTTGACGCATGATTCTGGCGTAATCGTCATTGCATGGAGACGTGACGATGTTTTGCCATTGCAATTTTTGATAATCGCTGAAAGTTTATCACGATTATTTATATCATAAAGCATACTAAGCATAGTATAAAACATTGACTGAGTCTTGCATGATATTTCCTTTATGGTATCAATTCGTAACATTGTCTTAGTGATTAGTTTGTGCATATTAAAACGAGGCAATTAGATCAGGTATATCAGTATACATATCCAGTGAAACAGTCAGTGGTCGGCTTGATATGATATTACTATATAGCGGACGGGTATTCTGCAATACTTCCTTGGGATGATATATAGTTTTAAGTTTTAACTCGCATTAACAGTTTTTGAGTATTTTTGGAACCAGAAAAACAAGTTGTAGGTTTGCTATGGCATCGCGAAGCAAATCGTCCATCTTTCTACACGTGGTCGTCTGGTCGAAGAAGAACAACGTGGAGTGATTGTTATATATACCGGGTGGCCCAAAAAAAAGTACTCCTGTTTGATTCGTAATAACTTCTAAACAAGTAAAGTTTTTAAAGAGAAATAACTTGCATTAAATAGAGGAAGGACTAACTTAGATTTTGATATATTACAGTTGTATTTAACTTAAAAATTCACGGATATATTAATGTTAAAAATGGGGAGCATATTTTGGAATGTGTCTAAAATTAGCGAAAATCGGCATATCAAATATTAACTCCAGCGTTTGTTTGCTTAATGACATATTAGGCTAACTTGTATTTCAGCGAATTATCGTTAAGGTTTGTAAGGGATATGGCGTAGATTTAGACATCTTACATGTAAGTCTTAGCTCATTGTTTCCTGAAATATGAACGTTCGAAATTATGCAAGTATTTAATATTAGGTCTTTGCAAACTTAAATGTACATGAAAGACTGACCATGGAAGGCAGGCGCTTAAATTTTTCGTATTCTTAAATACGGTAGCCTAATTTTTTTATGTTTTTAATGGGTTCAAACAGACTGAGTAGATTATTTCTCGGTTAGAGCAGGATGAATATTCTTTATTGAAGGAAATAATATTGCTTTTTGCAAATACACATCACCGTATCAACGCTACTATTTTGTTACGTTTTGTTCCAAAAATGTTGCATGTCTCTGGGGAGTTGCTTAATTGTTATGTCTTATGGAGTTGTATGGTTTGATTGTGTTTCATATAATTCTCAGTTTACTCCATGAACTTGCCAAGATTAAGAAACGGCAAAAGAGTTTGGGTGTTCTTAACAAGATTTCAGAACGTTGCAGAAGTTAGAAGAGCTTCACAATTCCGTTGTGACAGCATGCCCTAATTCAGAACTACGAACGATCCAATGACGATCCTTCGCGATGCAGTGGTCTCATGAAATAAGGAAACGTATTCGTGCTAGGAACACACGCGAATTTCGGACGAATGAATCTTGCTTGTATTTTGTAGATATAATAATACTTTGTTTCATAATAAACAATTTGTCAAGTGTCATTTATTTACTGGTAATAGTGCATGTTTCAGTCGGGCAAATCTTGATTAATATTTGATACGCCGATTTTTTGCATATTTCAGACACATCCAGAAATATCCTCCCGAATTTAAAGATTAATATCTCCGTGAATTTTTAAGTGAAATACAACTGTAATATATCAAAGTCTAAGTTGGTCCTTCCTCTATTTGATGCAAGTTATTTCTCTTTAAAAGCTATACTTGTTTAGATGTTATTACGAATCAAACAGGAGTACTTTTTTTTGGGCCACCCGATATATATATATATATATATATATATATATATATATATATATATATATATATATATATATATATATATATATATGTATATATATATATATATATATATATATATATAATTTTGTTCTGTTGGTAATAAAAACTTTTGGCAAAGTGCTCAATGGAAAACCAGAGCATATTTAAATTAAGGTACAACAAATCAACAAAATCCACTAGGCACCTTCAGATAAATCGGATTAGGTCAATTTATCTGAAGAGTGCCACATACT